AGACTTACGGTTCTAGATAGACCAAAAAAGTCTATGTGAAATAGTTGCAAGGGATGAGCTATAGAAACTATATTTTTAGATTAAAAGAGGCATTTGTTTGCTTCCTTTTTTACACACATCACATAATCGGTTATTTTCAAAATGTTAAGTCTGGGATACCGTTTACAAGATCTTTGTAGACCAACTTGTTCAAGTGGTTCATGTCGACGTGAGATTTCTCCTATGTCATAATCAAGATTCACCCTCATTACTTAAGAGACATACATCACTTGAAAGAATCTTATTTAAATTCACTGTGTACGTGCTTCCACTTCTTGAGCTTGTAAGTAGAGTTTTATTTTATTTAGAGCTAGTAAAAATAGTATGCAACTTAAATTTAATAATATTATAGTAGTTTATTTTATTTTTTTGCTTTCGCACCCTAGTTCATAGGGGAAATGACCTTATTAATTTAGAGCTCGTGAACTGAGGTATGAACACTGGCCAAATATTATTCCTGCCAGGAATCGAATTCAGTATTCCCCAAATATCATCATTTACAGAAGATTTTTTACCACTAGATTATATGAATATGACCTACAAAACATACTCCATAAAATAATAAAAAAAATAATGGATTGAAGATATATTTTGAGTGGTGCCACGTAGAAATATATTTAACGTTACAAATTTATGATATGGACCATGATATGTTGGCGAAATAATTTGAGCATCTGATTTAATTTATAATAAAAATTTATATACTAAGATGATTATTTCATTTCGATGAGTTCATTTTTAATTTTACAAGTTAAAAATCATTACGTTATATTATTAAATTTTGTTAAAATGATGTGAATTACCTTATTAAAAGACAATCTTTTATCTTATAATCCTTTTTTTAATCTTTAGTGAATATGTCTTGCAAGTGAATTTTGTGAAGTGATAAATCATAATTTTTAGACTAATTCTTCTACTAATTTTGTATGTAATATTTTTTAAAAAAATTATTTAATACTCACATAGTTTTATTATTTAGTGTAAATCTATCAACTACATTATTTGTTTTTTTGTCTAACTTTATATGTTCATCTAACATAAGTTTTTGTAGGTACTTAATTACTTATTAAAATTTATGATATATTGACTTAGATAATTTGACTTTATGGAATAAATTGTATATTTTTGTATTTATTAGGGTTTGAACCAATGATATCTAATAAACAATAATTGCTTTTTTGAAAAGTGAGGGTGAATTTTAGAAAGTGTCACACAAAAATATATTTGACATGGTAAAGTTTAGATAATATAGATGATGAAGTGTCAACGCAAGAATCCTCAACTCTGATTTTAAATATTAAAAATAAAGTTTTTAAAAACATTACATTTCCTTCTTAAAATGCCCGATCAGAACACACTCTTAGAAAATTGTAAATTGCTTGAAAAAAAAACATTTATCCTCTTTATGCATTTCATCAAAATAAGTTCAGAGAGTTAGATTTGAGTGAAAAGGTTGTAGGTTGATAGAAGTCTTCTGAAATTGTAAGAAATAATATGTGCTATAAAAGATCAAAGATCCTTATGTTGTGTCAGGGTCATCTTTGAGAGCGTGTAAGGCAGGCTACCGCACATGGACTCAAGTTTCTCTAGGCGAAACTATAGGCAAATAAGATCTTATAAAATATTTGAGAGATTTCTTAGTACACCCTTATATGGGTGAAAAAAACCTCTAAAAACCCCAAAATACCCTTCGAATATGCATATCCGAACAAACCCTTAAATTCATTTTCAAAATGTTTCGGATATGCATATCCGAAAATCCCTTGTTTGCATGTTATAATTATTTAGACGTTAGATTTAAACATTTAGTAGTATTTTTGGATATGCATATCAGAAAATACCTTTGTTACATAAGTTTTCTTCATGATCACCACTATCACTATTTCATTTATTTTATTTTCCCCCATAATCAAAATCTACTTCAAAACCTCAACCATTCTCAATCATTTTTTCGTCTCCAAATCAAGTTTCAAGTGTTTTATCATATCAAAGAGAGCATAGAAAGCTACAATTTAAGGTAAAAAAATTTCATTTTGTCTCTCATTTCCTTGCATTGATTTTGACTTTTGGTTAAAAAAATAATGTCACTTCGGATATGCATATCCGAAACCCACCTAACATATTTCGGATGTGCATATCCGAAACAATGTCTGTTACAAAAAAACAAAATTTTGTGTTAAATAAATTTTATGTTTTTGACCGTTTTAGTTATGGTGCACCCTGACATGTTTCTCAAAGTTGTTGTAAATGATATAATCAAGGTGAATGGGGATGCTAAGTCGGAAGAGATGAAGAACGATGTCAAAATGATTATTGTCGCAGTAGATGTTTGACAAATTTTCAAATTTACAAATGATCAAATTTTCAGTGCTCGTCAACATATGCTAGAGTGGGTCCGAATTTAAGCTAGTAAACTCGAGTTTGGTGTTGTGATTAAAAGGTCCCACAATGGCACTAGTAGAAGGAAGGTATTTGTAACGATGACATGCGAGAGAAGTGAAAAATATTTTCCAAAAATTCGAAACTTAAAACATGAAGACGCCAGATCGAGAAAATGTGAGTGTCTATTTAAATTGCACGGATACTGTAGGATGGATGATTTGTGGCGGTTTAATGTCATATATAGTTTACATACTCATGCGTTGGACACGAAGCTATAAGGTCATTCAATTGTATGTCGGCTTAAGCCAGAGGAGAAGGAAATTCTTTCAAAAATGTCGATGATCAAAGTTGCACCGAGAAACATACTTGTCAATTTGAAACGAAAAGACCACAAAGTATTTCAAATATCAAGAAGATATACAATGAACATTATCAACAAAATATGGTGAGTAGAGGTTCGAGATCCGAAATTCAACAACTTTTAAAATTTTGGACAATAACCACTATGTTTCAAGGTACCAAGTCTGTGAGGATAAAGTCAGTGTTTGTGACATATTTTGGACTCATCCAGAAAGTATCAAGTTGTTCAACACATTTTGAAATGTCCTTATAATTGATTCAACGTATAAGACCAACAAATATAGGCTTTCACTTCTAGAAATTGTTGGTGTCACTTTTACGGAAAAGACATTTTCGGTTGGATTTGCATTGCTGGAATCTGAGAAAGAAGACAATGTAACATAGGCGTTGGATATATGCAACTCTTTATTGAAGGATCCAAAAAATATACATAGTGTCATTGTAACCGACCGAGATAATGCCCTTATGAATGCGATTGGAAGTGTCTTTCCTACTTCATATGCATTACTTTGTCGGTATCACATAATAAAAATGTGAGAGTTAAGTTAAAACTCGAGGTCGGCAACAAAGAAATCAAGGGTGAAGATGAAAACATGGTCAAATCTAGTTTGGTGGTGGAAAAGATAATAGATGCATGGACGAATATATTAAATTCTTCTTCGAGGACACGCCTTTTGTCAGCTTCATTACCACACTGAATTCTCTCTTGCAATATACGAAAAATTGAAAGGTGGTCAAGGTCGACTATCGTTCACCCTCACTTGACATTGAAGGTAAGATAAAGTTTATCAAGTTTGAGCTGAAGACAGATGACGATTTAAAGGTTGTGTGTAGTACTTTTCAGTGATATTCTACTAAGGATCCGATTGAAGTGGATGCGAAGCTTCAAAGATCGGGAGAAGATGTTATCAAAATGTTGCGACGTCTCCGCTACCCGTTTATAACAATATATAATATTAAATTTATGTTCAACTATCTATGTAATTTTGATTATTTATGTTAAATCTATGTTAAGTTGGTTTGTTTTCAAGAGTTTTGATTCATTCACTGCTTCTGCATATTTCAGATTTGCATATCCGAAATTAAGCGTGGTTTCTTCGATTATGCATATCCAAAACTATTTCGTAAAAAAATTGAATATAGTGAGTTTAGATATTAATATCTGAAATCTGAGGGTATTACGGGAATTTCCCCAAGGACCTCTAAGAAGACATAAGGGTACATAAAAGAAACCCTCAAATATTTGTCGAGTTAAATCGTAATTAAATAGGAACTCTATTTATTTTTTCATGGTTAAATTATTGTTAGCCTACACAGAATCTCCAAAAATATAAAACGGCTCTGTGTTGTGTAGGCAACATTTGTATGAGTTAATATTAGATGAACCAATGAGCTCCCTTAAAATCAATGAAAAAGAACTCACAGAGGTCCCTAAAAGGACTCATGGATGAATTAGGAAAATCTCTAAAAAGGGAGTCTCTTTTTTCATAGTTCTACCTTTGGGCAGCATATGCCAAACTAACAAATCACATCTCTTAAAGTTATTAATAACTATAATTGAATACTAAAAAATATAAAAACTTTGTTCGCAAAAGCTGATAAAACACCCTAGGTTATTATTAGTGACCAATATCTTACATAAGTTTCATTGATAATTGCAGTACAATCTACATTATGTATTCCAAAAGTCACTTAATTTGTTATTCATTTCATATGGCTAAAAATGACATGCCTACAGGTGTGCATTTTACACAAGAAAAATAAAAACATTAGGCTAAAAGTGTCAAATGATTAGTCATTGTACCCGGTGAATATTTGAAATATTTATAGCAACAGAATTTGAAGACTTGTCCAATCCTCCCATCCTTGCATTTTCTCAAATGATAACCTTAACAAACCAAAAGAGTGGAATAAAACTGCAAATCAAACATATATCACTGCTCAATTGGCACCAAAAAGGATGTGTATCGTTGCTTCTATACAACAAACTGAGTTTGGGGCTCCAACAACAGCTACCCAAACATACACTCCAACCTATATCCTATATCAACACCCAAAAATTGGGGGACGGGGGGTCTCAATATCAATTCAGAATTATAATATATAAAAGAATTATAATGAATGAAAATAGAAAAATGATGATGACTTCTTTATAACATTTGCCCTTCAAGGGCTAAAATTAGCCATTTTCTAAAGTCATCTAGCCTCATTGTCATTGCTCAATTTTTACTGTTAAACCTCTCTCGCGAATACTGCCTTGATGCTTTTCTCCAATCAGTTCTAGCCTTCATCATTGCAGCAAATTCCTTATAACTTATTTTTCCATCCTACAATTTCACCAAGAAATATATCAGATTGGTTCCAATTTCCTAATATAGACAAATGAAACAACTACGTACGAGAAAGTTTCTTTTTAAGTTACAATTTTGATCGAGAATAATTCGTATACTTTCCATAAAACACCAGTAGAAAGGGTGTTTCAAAGATGCAGAATGTTACCAAGTGGGAAATAAGGCATAAACAAGAATTTATTGAAAGTTCTGACCTTGTCTGTGTCCACATCATGCATAATTGCACTAATGACTTCTTCACTGTTTTTGTCAATCTCGTCGGCTAAAGCATTACGTAACTCCTCAAGTTCAATATACCCAGATTCATTTTTGTCGAAAAATTGGAATGCTCTGTGTAGGTGTTCATCATGGGATATCCTTCTCAGATGAATAGAAATGGCTACAAACTCACCATAATCTAGGTACCCATCTTTGTCTAGATCACCCTGTAAAAGCAGCTCCCAAATATTATAAGTTGAAGAGACGCCTCTTAAAGGATATGTAGTACACCTTCATATAGTACTTTTCATAAGCACTTTACATGATAAGTGCTTAGGCTATAAACATACAATTAAAGAAAACACTCACAGCTTCCATAAGTATTTGGACATCTGCATCAGGAATTTGTTGGCCTAGCTTAATCAACCCTACTCGAAGTTCGTCAATGTTAATTTTGCCATTATTTTCTGTGTCCATCACATGGAATCCCTCTTTAATTCCAGCAACTTCTTCTACAGACAAATGATCTGCAATCACCTGCTCGCACGAAAGTCCAATATAACAAAATTAATGCTGTTTTCTTAAAGTTTAGAAAAATATTTTAGAGATCATTTCCCATGAGATATTAAAGTATTAATGAAACATTACCCTCAATGCTGTTTTCTTAAGTTTGTTCATTGCAAAATATTGCATGAGCCGTACATTGACGGTTACTCGTAAAGAAACATTAGAAGCTGTCTTACCATTCAGAAACCATGGATGATCTGCATTTAGTTAACAAGAATTGTTAACATTCCCACATTTCAATATTTCAACTTTTTGGTAGACAAAAATGTTCATCAGCTTAGCAGAAAATATTTCATACAATTCTGTTTTACATTACCTACCTAAGCATTCAATTATATGAACTGCATATTACCTAACACTTCCTGTGCAGTAAGCCGGCGCTTAGAATCAGGATCAAGCATCTTCTTAACAAGGTCTTTTGCATTATCAGAAACCTTTGGCCATGGATCTCTTTTAAAGTCAATAACCGACCGTATAATTGCTTGAGAAACTCGCTGCTTAGTTTCTGCATTTTAAGTACAAAAATACCATCTTCATCCACATAAGAAAGATCAGTAAATTATTTTTTGAATACAAGTGACCTACATGTGTATTTTGAGCTATTTAAGATTTCTTATTCACAACAGTCGAAAACAGCATTGAAAAGACAAAAACCAACCTGCCCAAAACGGGGGGACACCACAAAGTAAGATGTAAAGAATTACTCCAACACTCCATATATCAACTTCAGGACCATAATTTTTCATTAACAATTCAGGGGCCATGTAATATAGATTACCAACTATCTCATGAAATCTTTCACCTGCAGAGAATAACAAACTTCAGTTAAATGTACTTGGATGGCAGGACTGAACTATGAAAATCAAACTTGTAGCAAAAAGCATTACCTGGTTTAAAGAAAATTGACAAAGCAAAGTCAGTAACTTTTAAGGGCGCTGTTCCCTTATTATTTGCAAACAAAATGTTTTCAAGTATTAGATTCCTATGCATCACACCATGTTTGTGGCACATCTAAAACACAAGAAAAAAAAATGAAAATCATATAACCAAACATAATTAGTAAGTATAGTTAAAAAATTGAAAAGAAAAAGAGAGAATTAAGAGATATTAAGAATGATGATGATGATGACCTGAACAACTTGGACGATGGTATTAATGAAAGAAGCAGCTCTGCTTTCGGTGAAATGTCCTCCACCATTGATGCGATCCAAAAGGTTAGCATCGGTGAAATGTCCTATAGCATCCATGCGATCAAAAAGATTACCACCTTCACAGTGTTCCATAACAAGATGAACGTGATCGTCGTCTTCAAACACGTCCTTCAATGTAACGATGTTAGGGTGTTTAGGCAAATGACTCAAGATAGCAACCTCTCTTCTGACCATTTCAATATCAATCGCTGTTTTAAGTCCATTCTTGGAAATCCACTTGCACGCAACTTCCTCTCCTGAATTTCTGTCTTTCCAAAAGTATGTACGTCCAAAATCTCCTCTATCTAACTTGTATCTAGACTCAATCCCTTCTTCCGTGGGCCTTTGTAGCACCACCAGTTTTTGGGGTTTCTGCTTTGGTTTTTGTTTCTTGTTCATAAGCCATAGATTTGCCCAGCAATTTTTCATCATGTGGTGTCAATTTCAACTAATCTCATCAAGTAAAGAGTATTATGATGGCAGTGGAAGAAAGAAGATTTAAGGGATGACTTTGAAATGTGAAGGGAAAGAAGGAGATGGTCAAAGACGATGACTTTGTCTATTATAAATTTAAACTAAATTTATCATACCTCATTCTTTCTTTTTTTTTGTTGGGGTAAGCATATGCTAATATGCTATGTAACAAATGTTTTTTTTTTGTGGCGGTTTTATTGTTTTTTAAAAAGTCTAATAATTTTTCATTATTAAATTAATATAAAATATTTTTTATCTTACACACTTCATATGTTTAAGAGAAACATTATGGAGAGGTATCATATAGACTTTGTTGTGTAGATCACCATTTAGAAAAATATTTTTAGCATTCATTTGAGAAATATGTCATTGGAGAACTAATAAAAGTGTAATAAAACTGTGAATAATAGTCATTTTGACCATTCAAGCAAATGTTTTTTCAGAATCCATACTTAATTACTAAACCAACCACCAAATTCAAATACTACCACAAGAAAAAATCTCAAGAACAACGTATCAAATAGTATCATCTTCACCGACGACTTTGAATATAAGGCTCAAAAATTCATTCCAAAATCCAAGAAAAAAAAAAGAAAAGGCGACATCGAAGTAATGTTATGAAAATATAAAGTAATCTACTGCACAAAGTGGTCTATGTCTCTCAAAAAATTGATTTCTTCATCTCCCAAATGATTTAATTTATGATAAAAGTTGATATACTAAGATAATTATTTCATTTCGATGAGTTCATTTTTAATATTACAGGTTAGAAATTATTAAATTATATTATTAAATTTTGTTAAAATGATGGAAATTACCTTATTAAAAGACACAATCTTTTATCTTATAATCCTTTTTTTAATCTTTAGTGAATATGTCTTACAAGTGAATTTTGTAAAGTGATAAATCATAATTTTTAGACTAATTCTTCTACTAATTTTGTATGTAATATTTTTTTAAAATTATTTAATACTCACATAGTTTTATTATTTAGTGTAAATCTATCAACTTTATTATTTATTTTTTGTCTAACTTTATATGTTCATCTAACATAAGTTTTTGTAGGTACTTAATTACTTATTAAAATTTGTGATATATTGACTTTAGATAATTTGACTATATCGAATAAATTGGTAGAATCAATTTTATTTCGCAAAAATATAATAATGATGAAATAGATGAAAAGATAGTAAGAAAAACATATATTATATTCTATAAAGTTTATAAAAAGAATAATATCTAATAAAGAATAATTGCTTTTTTGAAAAGTGAGAGTGAATTTTAGAAAGTGTCACACAAAAATATATTTGACATGATAAAGTTTAGATAATATAGATGATGAAGTATCAACGCAAGAATCCTCAACTCTGATTTTAAATATTAAAAGTAAATTTTCTAAAAACATTACATTTCCTTCTTAAAATGCCCGATCATAACACACTCTTAGAAAATTGTAAATTGCTTGAAAAAAACATTTATTCTCTTTATGCATTTCATCAAAATAAGTTCAGAGAGTTAGATTTGAATGAAAAGGTTGTAGGTTGATAGAAGTCTTCTGAAATTGTAAGAAAGAATATGTGCTATATAAGATCAAAGATCCTTATGTTGTGTCAGGGTCATCTTTGAGAGCGTGTAAGGCAGGCTACCGCACATGGGCTCAAGTTTCTCTAGGCGAAACTATAGGCAAATAAGATCTGATAAAATATTTGAGAGATTTCTTAGTACACCCTTATATGGGTGAAAAAAACCTCAAAATACCCTTCGGATATGCATATCCGAACGAACCCTTAAATTCATTTTCAAAATGTTTCGGATATGCACATCCGAAAATTCCTTGTTTGCATGTAATATTTAGACGTTAGATTTAAACATTTAGTAGTATTTTTGAATATGCATATCAGAAAATACATTTATTACATAAGTTTGCTTCATGATCACCGCTATCACTATTTCATTTATTTTATTTTCCCCCATAATCAAAATCTACTTCAAAACCTCAACCATTCTCAATCATTTTTTCGTCTCCAAATCAAGTTTCAAGTGTTTTATCATATCAAAGAGAGCATAGAAAACTACAATTTAAGGTAAAAAAAAATTATTTTGTCTCTCATTTCCTTGCATTGATTTTGACTTTTGGTTAAAAAAACAATGTCACTTCGGATATGCATATTCGAAACCCACCTAACATATTTCGGATGTGCATATCCGAAACAACGTCTGTTACAAAAAAACAAAATTTTGTGTTGAATAGATTTTATGTTTTTGACCGTTTTAGTTATGGTGCACCCCGACATGTTTTTCAAAGTTGTTGTAAAGGATATAAACAAGGTGAACGGGGATGCTAAGCCGGGAGAGTTGAAGAACGATATCAAAATGATTATTGTCGCGGTAGATGTTTGGCAAATTTTCAAATTTATAAATGATCAAATTTTCAGTGCTCGTCAACATATGCTAGAGTGAGTCCGAATTGAAGCTAGTAAACTAGGGTTTGGTGTTGTGATTAGAAGTTCCCACAATGGCACTAGTAGAAGGCAGGCATTTGTAACGATGACATGCGAGAGAAGTGGAAAATATTTTCCAAAAATTCGAAACTTAAAACATGAAGACGCCAGATCGAGAAAATGTGAGTGTCCATTTAAATTATACGGATACTGTAGGGTGGATGATTTGTGGCAGTTTAATGTCATATGTGATTTACATAATCATGCATTGGACACGAAGCTACAAGGTCATTCAAATGTATGTCGGCTTAAGCCAGAGGAGAAGGAAATTATTTCAAAAATGTCGATGATCAAAGTTGCGCCGAGAAACATACTTGTCAATTTGAAACGAAAAAGACCACAAAGTGTTTCAAATATCAAGCAAATATACAATGAACATTATCAACAAAACATGGTGGATAGAGGTTCGAGATCCGAAATTCAACAACTTTTGAAATTTTGGACAATAACCACTATGTTTAAAGGTACAGAGTGTGTGAGGATAAAGTCAGTGTTTGTGATATATTTTTGACTTATCCAGAAAGTATCAAGTTCTTCAACACATTTAGAAATGTCCTTATAATTGATTCAACGTACAAGATCAACAAATATAGGCTTCCACTTCTAGAAATTGTGGGTGCCACTTTTACGGAGAAGACATTTTCGGTTGGATTTGCATTGCTGGAATCTGAGAAAGAAGACAATGTAACATGGGCATTGGATATATGCAACTCTTTATTGAAGGATCCAAAAAATATGCATAGTGTCATTGTAACCAACCGAGATAATGCCCTTATGAATGCGGTTGGAAGTGTATTTCCTATTTCATACGCATTACTTTGTCGGTATCACATAATAAAAATGTGAGAGTTAAGTTAAAACTCGAGGTCGGCAACAAAGAAATCAAGGCTGAAGATGAAGACATGGTCAAATCTAGTTTGGTGGTAGAAAAGATAATAGATGCATGGACAAATATATTAAATTCTTCTTCGAGGACACGCCTTTTGTCAGCCTCATTACCACACTGAATTCTCTCTTGTAATACACGAAAAACCGAAAGGTGGTCAAGGTCGACTACCGTTCACCCTCACTTGACATTGAAGGTAAGATAAAGTTCATCAAGTTTGAGCTAAAGACGGATGACGATTTAAAGATTATGTGGAGTGCTTTTCAGTGATACTCTACTAAGGATCCGATTGAAGTGGATGCGAAGCTTTAAAGACCGGGAGAAGATGTTATCAAAATGTTGCGACGTCTCAGCTACCCGTTTATAACAATATATAATATTAAATTTATGTTCAACTATCTATGTAATTTTGATTATTTATGTTAAATCTATGTTAAGTTGGTTTGCTTTCAAGAGTTTTGATTCATTCACTGCTTCTGCATATTTCAGATTTGCATATCCAAAATTAAGCGTGGTTTCTTCGACTATGCATATCCGAAACTATTTCGTAAAAAATTGAATATGGTGAGTTCAAATATTAATATCCGAAATCTGAGGGTATTACGGGAATTTCCCCAAGGACCTCTAAGAAGACATAAGGGTACATAAAGAAACCCTCAAATATTTGTCGAGTTAAATCGTGATTAAATAAGAACTCTATTTATTTTTTCATGGTTAAATTATTCCTAGCCTACACATAATCTCTAAAAACATAAAACGGCTATGTGTTGTGTAGGTAACATTTGAATGAGTTAATATTAGATGAACCAATGAGCTCACTTAAAATCAATGAAAAAGAACTCACAGAGGTCCCTAAAAAGGACTCATGGATGAATTAGGAAAATCTCTAAAAAAAAAAAGGGAGTCTCTTTTTTCATAGTTCTACATGTGGGCAGCATATGCCAAACTAACAAATCACATATCTTAAAGTTATTTATAACTATAATTGAATACTAAAAAATATAAAAACTTTGTTCGCGAAAGCTGATAAAAACACCCTAGGTTATTATTAGTGACCAATATCTTACATAAGTTTCATTGATAATTGCAGTACAATCTACATTATGTATTCCAAAAGTCACTTAATTTGTTATTCATTTCATATGTGGCTAAAAATGCCATGCCTATCTACAGGTGTGCATTTTACACAAGAAAAATATAAACATTAGGCTAAAAGTGTCAAATGATTAGTCATTGTACCCGGTGAATATTTGAAATTTTTATAGCAACAGAATTTGAAGACTTGTCCAATCTTCCCATCCTTGCATTTTCTCAAATGATAACCTTAACAAACCAAAAGAGTGGAATAAAACTGCAAATCAAACATATATCACTGCTCAATTGGCACCAAAAAGGATGTGTATCGTTGTTTCTATACAACAAACTGAGTTTGGGGCTCCAACAACAGCTACCCAAACATACACTCCAACCTATATCCTATATCAACACCCAAAAATTGGGGGACGGGGGGTCTCAATATCAATTCAGAATTATAATATATAAAAGAATTATAATGAATAAAAATAGAAAAA